CTTCAAGACCATGTTTAACCACATGGAACTTAAGCCACAGAAAACAAAACCACAAATGAAGGAGGATATATTTAGGCTATTAAGAAGGCTGTATTTGCTTAGAGTCAGTGTCCACTAAATGGGACTGCTTCTCCCATGGCCAGAATTTATGGGTCCAGGAATCAAAGTGTGGGAATGTGAATGTTACCACTCACTACCATTCTAGTGACTCATAACAGTTTTTGCTTCCTGTTCCCATAACCTTATACTTCTCTGGCCTGGAAATATTCATTTCAAAGAAGGGAAGGCTTGTATCAGGAAATACAAGAACAATTCCATTGAACAGAAACTAAGAATTCCCCTTGGTCATTATGGGCTCCTCCTGCCTCTGAGGAAACAAGCTAAAAGGGACTTGTGATGTTGACAGAGATGGTTAATCTGGACAACCAGGGAAGAATTGGACTATTGCTCCACAATGGAAGGAATGAAGGATACAATTGAAGGGTGGGAGGTCCCTGAGGGAACCTCCTAATAACAGTAAGCCTTATTATTAAGATTAATGGGAAAACAGATATGTGGATCAATGCAACATAAAGAAGATGCAGACACAACTCCAGGCGATTTCAGCTATCTGGTCTTTGATAAAAAGACAAAATAATAATAATAATAATAATAATAATAATAATAATAAATAGACGGGAGATTGCCACATCAACAAGTGGGACTGGGAGAACTGGCCATACACATGCAGAAGATTGAATCTACACCCATCTCTCTCATCGCATACTATGCTAAAATCAAAATGGATTTCATACGCTAGAGTACTATCCAGCCCTAAAGAAAGACAAGCTCATGGCTTTTATAGGTAAATGGATGCAACTAGAGACCACACTCACAGGTAAAATGAATCAGACCTTCATGTGTAAACACCACATTGTCTCCCTAGTGTAAGAAACTGAAAGAGTAAATAAAATCCAAAAGGTGTAATAGAGGGCTGGCCAAATAGCTCAGTGGAATAAAGCACCTGCAAGCAGGTACAGGGTTCAGGGGTTTGATCCCTGGGTCTTCTGTACCGGCCCTGCCCACAGGGTGCGCTGAGATGGCAATTAAGACTGGGCGTGGATAATTCCAGCTCTTGGGAGGTTGTAAACAGGAGGATCACTACAAGTTCTATCTAGTAGTGAGACCCTGAACACCCTGCAGAACTTCACCCCTGATCAAAAAAAAAAAAAAGGTGCAATAGATACTGCAAAAGGGAAAGGAACTGTTCAAAAGGAAAGAACAACTGGGATGAGGCAAAGAATATTATATTTACATTTACACCCCCTTTCAGATAGATAGATAGATAGATAGATAGATAGATAGATAGATAGAAGAGCTAAGATAATTAGCTTATTGAAAGGAACAGTGCTTGTACTGTTTGATCATTCTTGCATGCCTATGTCTTATAATCTGAGCAACTACCTTGAAGATAATAACCATTGTTAATTTTATACCATCTTGTTTTGTAATTCTGTATTATTTTTATTGTTTTTTCTCTACCATTAAAATGAAAAATAAGTTGCAAGCAAAATGTATCAAAGATCTAAATGTTGAGGCAGAAATGTTCTGCTTGAAGATAAAAGAGATAAAACTCCGTACTACAAATATTCGTTAAAAAATTAAATTAATTTTAAAAACTCTTGAAGACAGAGCATAGGCAAGGACTTCATAAACAAAACCACAACCCCCAACTGATGATATAGCATGTGATGAGGTAGCATTAAAAATCCCTAAGTGGGCTACTACCAACACAGAAAAGAGACGACCAACAGTGGAGCGACACCACACACAATGGGAAGGTTTTTTATTCAATTGTTCTTCAGACAGACAACTATTATCTAGAACATATAAAGAATAAATAAAACAACTAGATTCCCCTGCAATAAAAGATCCAATAAAAAATGGACAACTGAAATAAATACTCTTTCAGAAATACAAATACGTGGAAAAAATGCTCAACATTACTGCTCATTACAGAAATGCTGGGGCTTGTGGGTTAGCTCAGTTGTTTAAGCACCTGCTTGGGCAAACCCAGTCAAGCGCAGGAGACTGTGGCTGGATCCCCAGCTCTACACGCCTGACCAGACCTGCCTTAAGGCAGCTTGAGCAAATAAAAAAAAAAATCCTTCCCATTAGAGGAATGCAAGATAAAACAACACTGAAGTTCCACTTACTCGATGAAAATGGCAATCACTAAGAAATCAGATAGCAAAAAGAGAAAGAAATCAATCAAATAACAACAAATCAAGCCATAGCAAGACTTCTAAAGAGAAAAAAACCCTTCTATAGTCTTGGTGGGAATATAAACTAATACATTAACAGCCACTGATATTCACAACCTCTGTGAATATCAGTATAGAAATTCCTCCAGAATTCTAAACCTAGAAATTCAATTTGGCCTGGGTATTCCCTTTGTAGGTATCTTTCTGAAAAAGTTAAAAATAGATTACTTTGAGTCTTCATATTATACTTGCATATTGGACTTGGGATTTTATAATGGCAGTTGTAATGTAGGCCATTCTCTCCTAGTACAGTAATATGATATAAAGTGACACTCATAAAATAAAAAACATGCCCATTAATTTCGATAGACTGGATCTCTAGTTAGATTAGTATACACACAATAAGATATGCAAAAATTTGTTCTTTACTTTAAAAAATTGCCTTTTGACATTGAAAGGAGATACCATAACTCATTAATAATTAAACACAAATTTTCAAATTCAATGACATCGAGCTTCCTAGAAGATACATGCTTGCTTCCCTTAAGTTACGCCATTCTTTAGTGGAGAGATTAGAATCAAAGCTCTCCACACCCAGGAATGTTCAGCCCTGCTGCCTTCTCATGATTTTTCCATGAGCAGACAGAACTACCGACGCTTTCCTGTCCATGTTAGAGATGTTCTTCCCATGCGCTTTCCAACATGCGTAAAATCAAAAGGGCTTTCCTTTCGTGGCTTCTGATCAAATCTCCGCACTCATCTTTTTCTGCCGCCAGCAAGTTCTCACCTCTGAGAATCATCCAGCACGCTGCACTCAGGTAGCTTTTTTCAGACAATATTTCACTCATGTAACTTCCCAACCTCCCAAAAGGCCAAAGGAATTACTTTCCATGTTCTCCAGAGAAGCAAATCTTCTATGCAAAGGTTCTTCAATAGTTTCAAGTTATTCTGATGACTTGTAATATGCAAACTTGTCTGCTTTTGCTCTTCCAAATATACCAACCCCCTTTTCTGCTCTGAATAAAGCTAACCACATTGTTCAAAGACAGTTCAAATGTCAAACTAATATTGAACTTTTGTCTAGATCATATCAACTCACAGAACCCTTTAGAACTGACTATAGAGGCACAAAGTCTGTGTTACAATTTGGGGGCATTTGGGGGGTAACAATTTGGTTTGCAAACCAAAATGTTTACAAACAAGATTTATGAACCAAAGCATTAATATATTTTTTGTGTTCCATCTACCTATAATTAAACTATACTACCAGGAATATTACCTTTCCATATGTGTATCTTTTTCATAGTACTGTAAGTACGTTCCATTTTTCTGTAGTCCCTAAAAATCTAGTCCAGGTCATTATTCACATCACATGTGTTTATATACTGCCACCCACGTGGTGGACATTGTGTTAGGCTTTGAAGATAAAACAGTCAAGCTGGAAATAGCTCAGCAGCTTAAGTGGCTGCCTGGCAAGTGCAAGATCATGAGTTTACTCCATGTTACCAAAAAAAAAAAAAAAAAAAAAAAACAGAAGATGAAACAAGACAAACAAAGCTAATTTCATGGATCCCAGCGATGTCTCTCACTGGAGTGCCTAAGTCACCCTCATCCTTGCACGGCCAAGGTGCAGACGAAAACAAGGAATCATTACAGGCCTGATGCTTTTAAAACTGAAAATATATTTGCAGTAAATGATAGGCTATTATAAGAATGAATTATAGAAAAAAATGTACGAACTAATTCTACTTATATAAAGATGGGCAATGATTTGCTGGATATAAGTATATAAAAAATCTAGAAAAGATATGGTAAAGACATTAGATGTAGCAGTAAAAGAAGGACAAAGGACAGGCGTGGGAAAGACCGGGCCTCCTTTCACCGGGCGACAGAGCCATAGTGAGGGACGTGGATCCTTGTGACAAGTTCAGGCCCACATCTTCCTCTAGGCACCGAGCTGATTCGCTCCCTTCATCTTTAAAGCGCTGCACAGAGGAAATGCGTCTAGGGTACGGCTCATCAGACCTCTGGAGAAGGAGGGCCCCACCACGGTGCACCCCGATGGCTCCGGAGAGGCGCTAGACTGGAAGCTGGCGGCTCCACTCCGGAAAGTCCTACCCTTCCTGTTATACTTCCTGCATTCTCTGGCCACGAAATTGCCTGCAAGAGAAGAAGAAAGAGCACAGATGCGAAACCCCAGGAGCAAAGCTCCCGCCTCCAACCCTGGCCTTGGCTCCCATGTGGGCACCTCCGATGCCACGCTGGCAGCTTGGTAGATAGCTGCTATGCAACGAAGCTAAGTGATCAGCCCGCACTAACTCTCCTGTGCATCTATGTAGACTTTCTCGGGTCACTTTCAATTCTAAACTTCAAGAATCTGGGCATTCTTGTTTACAACAGAGCTCTTGCCAGGGATACAGCTAACTGGTATAAATGCCTGCCTAGCAAGCACAAGGTCGTGAGTTTGATCCCTGGTACCTCTCCGCCAAAATCATAAAACATAGGAAAACAGGCCTCTTCCTTTTCTAGAGACCAGACAGGCACTCTCGTTGTTGCTATTATCTCTCTTCTAGGACTGCTCAGAGATGGGAGCGGACATGAATGTCCTCACCACACGCGGGCAGTGAGAAAAGCAGGGCTCGCTTTGTACGGAGAAGCGTGCGGGATGCCCTCGGGGGGGCCCTGGCACCGGGCGGCAGGACAGAAGGTCGGTGGGAAGAAGGCACGAAGCCGGTGACGTCGCTCCGCGCGGCAGCAGCGGGAGTTAACGCTCGCCCAGGAAGGGGAGCGGCCGCCCAGCAGCAGGAACTGCCCGCCGGAGCCAGGGTAAACGCTGGCGCAGGCTGGGAGACTGAAAATGACCAGGGTTTGGGGCCTGGGATGAACTCAGGGGAGAGAAAGGCCTGTAATATGAGGGCCTCCGAGAGATGCAGCGCGGGCTGAACCCTTAGGTTTGCTGCGTAGCACCCACCTGCCGAAGGCACCTGCCAAAGGCTAAGGTGCAGTTCCTCTCTGTGAATGCTCTCCTTGGGTTAAGAGATACGCTATCCTGTTCACTGACGAGCAGCCCAGAGCTAAGTCATTACTCATCCTGGTCTTTCCAGCGGTCGGATTCAGAATTTGAGTTTCTTCTCTAGGGTGTGAATAGGCAGCTCTACAAAGAGTGTAGCAGTTAGGGTTGGGGTCACCTGGAATTTCTGTCCTTTCTTGTTTCATGATGAAAAAAAGAGCGAAGAGATTAAGCTGTGGCCCTTGGGTTCCTGTCGCCAGTGCTACCTGCATAGGAAACCACTGGCAAAAATCAAGCGTGGAAGAAGTGGACAGACCGAAGTCCAAGACAGAGTCCAGAATCTTGGAAATAGGCCAGGTTTTCCAGCCAAGTTAGGCAACCACTATTAAATATTAAGATGCCCATCTTTTATTAGTGTTTGAAGAAAAGACCAGGACATTGAAATAGTCTGGTTTTAGATTATAGTCTTAGTGATTTAAACTAATGGAGAACATGGGGGCCTGCCCATTAGCTCAGTTGTTTAAGTGCCTGCTAAACAAAGCAGTCAGGCTCAGTACACTCTGGTTCGTACCCCATTTCTCACAGGAAACCAGAAATGCCCTCAAAGAAACTTCAGGCCACCAGAAATAAATAAATAAATAATAAACTAATGGAGAACAATACTAAATGTTGAACCAGATTTTAACTTTGTGACAGAGATTATAAATGTTACTTACAAGAACATTCTTCACATCTTTCAAGGGTTGTAACCATGAAGCCATCCACCATGCTGCTGCTGTGAGAACCACACCATCCTGCTCTTAAAACCCCTGCAAGGAAGGACACAGTGCTTTTCTGTTAGTAAGTAGCAAGGGAAAACACGGTAGCCAACTTACTAGTTAAGTGTGGACTTAAGGGAAAACAATATAAATTTAAGGCATAGATAAAAATATTGTTCTTGAATATTCTTTCACTAGTTGACATTGTTTTCATTGATTCAATAAATATCATAGGTTGGAGGCACAAGGGTGTGGGAGAGGAGAATGGGAATTGAGCACAGTCTTGTTGCCCAGCAGACTATGGAATTATGGGTAATTTAATGTAACCATGAGTGATTGGACCATTTAAACTCTTCAGTCTCATGTGTGATCTTTCCGTTAGCTGAAGTGAATGCAGAAAATTAATAGTAGATCATTTCGCTGAAGTTGATAAGAAGATCTGTGCTAGAATCAGGCCTCAATACTTGAATTAATTACTGTAATTAATAATGTAATTGGAAAATTATATTATTTTCCTTTTGTTTCCATGATACTTGGAAATAAAAGGAGATCTCTTAACATGTCTGAAATAAGCAGTTTACTGAAGCAGCATATTTTTATGGAAAATCTTACGAACTCATCAAAAGTCCAGGTATTGCAAAGGATGATGATAAAAATATTAATAATTTCCATTTATTAAATATCATATACATTTCATCATATACATAGTACATCAATTGCTTTAAATATACTATGCCTTTCAATTTCCAAAGCAAAACTATGATATAATTCCAATTTTACATAGGAAACAACTAAAGCTCAGGGAGGATTTCCCAAACCAGATGGTTTCCAAAGGTGTTACTCTTATACAATAATCTACGTAGGGGTTTGGTAAGTCAAAAGCAAAATGAATAGGAACTAAGTTATGAGCATCCAGGCTTAAGGCACACCCTGGTTATTTTCTTAGTAATATACCAGTCTTGGGTGGGCAGTGCAGAAACGTTAAAACAATAGGCAGCCACCAGATTTGAATGTGCCTCAGGAGAGGAGAGGGAGGGCTACGGAAGGGAGGCCTACATGCTTTCCTCACTGGTGTTAATTGCCTGTGTGGAAACAAAATAATTCAAACGTCAGACAACTGGCAATAAAATATGAGACTCTAGGTATGCAGAATACCACTTCTGAGTAGGGTTTTACTTGTGCAACCAGAACTTGCCAAAGCAGAATTCTGTGTAATATTGCACGTACTTGCACTAACGCCCCCAGCTTCCCTTCTCCTACAGACAAAGCAGATATTCCATCCCAGTCTGACAACCAACAGTAAGTGATTTCCTATTCTAGGTCACTATCTTATTATGCCGATTATGTTTTATGCTGCTCAGAGTACAATGATATATTTAATAACCATATTTGAGGCTTTCAAAATTTTGATGGATTAAAAATGTTCTCAACTCATTAAAGTTTGGAAAATAAATATGGAACTATTATACAAAAATGGTATGAGCTTGATATTTAAATGAATTGTTAACATAGTTCACTATAAAAACAATGAATCGCCATGCTTGTGGTTTTTGGAAGAAGACTTCTAGAACTACTTTTAATGGAAAAGTGAAAAAATCTGGCTATGTGTGTGCTGTACGTGGTCACTTTAAGGCTTTTCTGTTACTATCGCCATCTATTTTTTATCAATATAAGAATTATTTAAAAGATAGAGTCTCTGTTGTGCCTCCACAATGGCTTGCTGTTTCCCAATTGAAACAATGAGTGGCTGGCCTTGAAGTAATAACTGGATGGAGTCTAACTTCTGACGTTACCATTGACATAGGCTAACAATTGTAGAACAATTTGTTTATCTGCAAAATATAGACACATTTACTACTAAGGTATCAAAAGGAAATTATATGGCATATTTTTACCAAAACCTTTAATAAATTTTCATTCTCTCTTTTTTATGGTTGCAAGCACTATTGAGAATAAGGAGAACACATGCAACAAATGTCAAAAAACTACTATTTGTAGATCAGAGGAACCCGAGAAGCACCAATTTTAGTTTTCCTCCAAGAATCTAATGGTGCGATGCTCAGCCAGAGGAGACAATTCAAGCACCGTGTCTTCGATTGTAAAGTGAGCCTAAAAGGAAGATGAGCACTTCCTAAGCAGTTATGGCTTCTTCCCCAGATCCTGGGACTTTTGACACACTAAAAATAAACAACTTGGGCACTGTGTTGCTCAACATCATTTAAATAGACAGCAAGTATATTGAACTACCTTTGTTCCAGATCATGGGTTGGGCATACAGGCTAGATTTTCAACTTATTAATTTTATTTGTATCCTTCTATACGTGAAAACTGGATACTGTACACAAATAGAAGGAAATAATCACACCTTATAGCCATTACATGAAAGAATTAGCCACTGCCATATTGTTTGTACATTTCCATCTGATCACAACCTTGAAAGCTTAATTTAAGTCCAATGTAAATGAAGGAACAGTCTTACTTTAGAGACCAGCGAACCAAAAAGAAAAAGGTACACACTGAAAATAAATTTTGCCACAAAACTGAGATAAATAATGAATGCCGCTCCCAAAATTAGCTATGAAGGAAACTTTTACTTTGCTTCACATTTTCTTTTTGATGATAAAAGGGCAACTATCCAAGAAGAAGCTCGGATTTTCTAGTCTTCACAGATATACTTGAAGGGCACCAATCAAATGAATTTTTATAGAGGCAAAGATTCTACTGGCGAGACCCAGTCCTAGCCCAGGCCCGGATGATGCCAAATTCTAAAAACGTCAGTTAACTGCACATCTCTGTTAATCCATATCAATGATGTTAAAACATTTCAATCCATTGTCAGAGACCACAGTTTCATAGTGGTTGGTAGAACTCTAAGATAAATGGTAAACCTGGACTAGTTACATTAATAGTACATAAAATACTTCTCAATGTCCAAGGCTATTAGCAGAAACAAAAGGGTAATCAGTATGTTACCCTTTCTAAAGAAAAGTAGCAATTATCTAATAACAGACTCCCTGTGATGATGTTGGTGCCTGCACTTAGCAATTCAAAGAACTGTTAGTCAGAAAAGTTAGCAATGATGTTGATAATCTGAAAAACAATATTTAAGACTTTGGTCTAACTGTCATATGTGGAATCCTATATTCAGCAGATGCAAAGCACACGTTATTTGCAAATTCATATTTGTCTACATTGACAGTATGCTAGACTCAATTTATTGAGTCTTCCTAAAAGACTCAATAAAATTTAACAGTAACGAAATTAATAAAAAAAAAAAAAGATTCCTCTGGCACTCAATGACCATTCCTCTCTACTTCACTGTTAGTGAATATATATGAACCATAGTTCCTTTGGAATAACTTGGATCATCACAGTTTCCCCTCTTTCAATCCTATGTCTCTCTTATTTTTTAATCTTTTCTTTTTTCTTTTCATATTTTTATTTTATTTTTCCCAGTCAGGTGTTATTGGTACACTTTAGGTTTGTGTGACAGAGCTTTGTTCTCTTTTGACTCAGCTTCCAGCGATGGCCTTGCTCCCGGTGGTGGTGGTGCTCATTGCGACGCTGTTTCCATCCTTGCCCACTGAAGGAAAGGTAAGGTTGGAAGGAAAATCTTTTCAGAACTATTGGACAGCCTCCTGGGGTGACAGGCTACTTGGAGAACAGAAGAGGTAGCAAGCTTCTGCGCATCACACTGCTGTCCTTGCAGCTCAGAGTACTTAACAGTGTTGGGTATGGTAGACTTGAGAGACTGAGGCAGCACCCTCCATGGTGGGCACCGGGTGCTTCTGTAGGACACTTGATAAGACGCAGTGTGCTGCGAGTGCAGGACGCTGTGGAGACTTCGGAGGCTTCAACGGAACAGAGTCACAGCAGCAATTTGTATGCTGACTAAGTGAGGAAATACAGCATTTAGGATGTGCAGTTAAATAGTGCAGCAGGTTCATAGGGCCACTGTAATGAACTACCACAAACTTCAGGGAGAACAACAGAAATTTAATTTTTTTCACCGTTAAGGAACCAAGAAATTAGAAATGAAAGTTTCTGCAGAGCTTTACTTCCTTTGAGGGGTTAGGAAATCCTTTCCCTGGGCCTCTGTTGGCTTCTGCAGAGTCATGGAGCCCCATGACTTGTGGCTACCCTGGCCCAGGCACTGCCTCCATGCTCAAGTGACCCTCTCCTCCATGCGTCCCTTAAGGAGGCTCCTGTCACCCCACTGAGGGTCCACTTGGATGACCCGAGATGGTCTCATCCTAGTCCTTGACCAAATTCCATGTACAGAGATCTACCTTCTTCTCAAAGAAGATCATATTCATGATTCTGCGAGTTTGAGGCATGTCCTATGGGGAACTACCATTATGTCATTACAGTAAAATCTATTCTTTAATATTCTCTATTCTTAATATGGCCAGCTACATCAAAATTTGTATATTAGGCTTGAGTTCCATTTTGAATGGACACAAGATCTATGAATAAATAGTTAATAATATTCCTCATACTTCAAGATCTTTTCTGATTTCCTTATTTTATTTCATTTGCATCTGGCTTTTATAGAAAATTCACAATAAACATAATCTTAACTAGCACAATTCCTTCTTATATAATCACAAGATTGATTTTTTTGTAGTTCATGTGTAAGAATTAGATCTGTTTTTAAATTTAAAAATAAACCTAACTCTGGAGCATGAGAAGTTTTTTAATAATCATAGAATAAGTAACTGAAGACCTCATTAGTAGTCAAAGTCTTGAATTCATACCCCCTTTTTCTAATGTGCTTCTTTGCTTTTGCTTTAATGATTCCAGAAACAAGATCTATTATCCTCTTTAGTGAAACAGAGTGTAGATCTGCTGGTTTCAGGAAATTACTGAAAGTCCCTGACCTTAAAGCACAAGGGGGTAAAGGGGAAATTCATGTAGTTATATTTCTGACTACAGTATTGGAAGAGTCTCAAGAGAGCTCAGTAGGAGGAAGGAGGGCAACCACCTCATCTCAGAGTCTCAGAGACAGTCTAGTGACTTTGTCAGCTCAGACTTTTCCTCAGAATCTTGCTCAGGCCCATGGAATGGCACACTCCTGTGTCAGTGCAAGACCTTGTGCCAACAATTTACAAATCCTATTCCACTGCTGGGCGTACGCCCACATCTGTTCAACCACAGTGATAGGTTGAAATTACCAACACCTGAGTAGCTCTTCACTTACATTTCTGTTTCCAAGAATAACCAAGTCAGCGATGGTCTACTCATTAGGTGAAATTTATCCTTCCAAATGGCCTTCCAGATTTTTTTTTAAAAAAAGACCCATTTACTCAACATCATGATCAGACTATTACATTTAGCAATCAACGGGATGGGTACAAAAAAGGTCTGTGTTAAAACCTTTTGTTGGAATGCTTTACACTTTCCACAGAACAGAAACTAAAATAACCAGTTATACAATTAGTCACAAATGCAATCCTCGAGTTTTTTGCCCAGATACATGAGTATTGTCTAAAACATGTCTTCTCTGTAGCAGCTGTTCCCTGCCACCACTGTGCTTGGCTGAGTTCACAAATCTGTTGTAACCTGTGGCTTCCCTGTCACTTCTATGGCTTTCCTCTCCTGCTAAGCTTTGTTTCCTGAAAGTGTTTAAAACCTTCTGCCACTGTCATAGCTACTGCTCCTGCATCATAACCATCTTGATCTTGTGGTTTGGTAGAATATTGGCCTCCACCACCAAAGGGGCAGGACTTGTACCTCCAAAGTTTCCTCCCTTCATGGGTCCAAAATTTGAAGACTGACTGTTGTAATTGCCACATTCATTATAGCTTCTACTACCTCCAGAATTGCTTCCACTACCACCACCAAAGCCACCTCTGTCTGCTCCGTTGTCATAGCTGTCATAGCTGCCACTCCCGCCATAGCCACTGCCCTGGTTCCCACAACCCTGTCTACCACTTCCATAGCCTCTGCTTCCTCCAGAGTAACCAGGGACACCACCTCCCTAACCATCATCATTACCAAGTCCATTGTAGCCATCTCCACTGCCACCATATCCACCCCCACCATGGCTGCCACCAAAGCCACCTTGACCACTGAGTTCCTCTGCAACTGAAACTGTCATTGCCACCAAAACCACCTCCATGACCACTAGCAAAACTTCCAGAACCACATCGACCTCTTTAGCTAGATGAAGCACTAGCCATCTCTTTAAGTTTGGATAGGGCTTTCCTCACTTCACAGCTGTGGTCATTCACAGTTGGCATTTTCTTTTTTTTCCCATAATTTTATTGATAAACAAATAGCAATGAGACAGTTTCAAGTCAAATTGGTAGGACAGTTTCAATAATAACACATTGCATACATTCTTCCTAGTGGTTAATTGCTGTACAGGATGCGGACATGATATCCTATTTACAAACACCATTAGAACAAATCTATTTGTTAGAGAATGTAACTATGTATCTATCCTAACCACTTTGAATACACAGATACAAAATAGCCATTCATCTGTATACCCTTTTTTTTGTTAAGTTCCGTTATTTGAATATTGTAGGTGTGTTAACTCAGCAAAATAATCTAAAAGAGTTCAGTAGTCTGTAATAGTATTGGGTCTTATGCTTGACTGGCAATGTCAGAAATTGTTGACCTGAATCCCCTACAGCTCAACATAACAGCATGGCTTTACTTCTTATACTTCATTTTTATACTTTTCTGCTGGATGGTTAAGACCAAGGTAAAGCAGAACCTATGCAATAAGACAGTTTGGCATTTTCGAATGACAGTCTTATCCGCAGAATCATGGTCATCAAAAGTTATAAAAGCAAAGCCCCTCTTATTTTCAGTGTCTCATTGGGTCATAGTTTCAATCTCTTCAATTTTTCCATGTTGTTCCAATTAATCTCAGGGAATGTTCTTCAGTATCTTCTTTAATGCCACCAACAAGCATCTTCTTCACCGTTAAGTGGGCACCTGGTCTTTGAGAATCTTCTCTTGAGACAGCTCTCTTTGGTTCCACAATTCTTCCATCCACTCTGTGGCCTTGCAGTCATGGCTGCATCCACCTCCCCCACAGTGGCATAAGTGACAACCCCAAAGCCCCTGGAACGTTTGGTGTTCGGGTCTCTCATTACCAGGCAGTCTAAATGTCCCCCATTGCTCACAATGGCTCCTCCGACTCTCTTCAGTTGTTCCAAAGCTCAGCCTTCCAATGAAGAGCTTCTGTAGCTGTTTGGGCTCCTCGGGAGACTCTGACTTAGACATGACAGCAGTCAGAAGAGAGAATGACTTAAGATTTTTTTAATACTGAAGAGCTATCATTGGAGCAACCCTGAAAATAAGTAAATTTACATTGAAAACTAAGCAAACTTAATAATTAAACTTGTTTTGCTCAAAACATAATTCTGCTGGGCTTAAGCATTGGTTCTGTGATTGCAAACAGCACATCTGGGCAAAGCTCTCTGAATAAATCATGGGCTCTCCTCAGCTTGCACAGCAAAATGATAGGCTTAACTTCTTATAAAGGATTGTGGTTGTAAAATATTGTTACCGAATTATTTATTAGAAATCATAGTGAACACTCCCTTGAAACCAGAAATTGGTCTCTGTGGCTGCAGAGCTTTTAGCCACAACATGAATTGCCACTCATGTTGAGAGCTGAAGTGCACCGCTGCCCTATTTGAGCATCGCCTTTGCTTCAGATTGAGTACTAATGCTTAATAGCTAATATTTGCTTCAAATATCTACTACCACATCATAACCTAATACATATGTGATCTTCATTCCTTTGAACTTATTCACTGTTATATGCAATGGTCAAAAATCTTTAAAACATGATTTTTCTTTGTTTGTTGGGTTTTTGTTTGTTTGTTTTTGTTTTTGTTTTTGTTTTTGTTTTTTGTAGAGTCTCACTACACACTCAGACTCATAGTGGTCCTCCTGGTTTCAGCCTCCTGAGCCCTGGCATTACAGGCGTGTGCCACCACACCTGGGGGTGGGGCTGGCATGGAATGTGATGCGGGGATGAGACGCGAGCTGCTGTGCTTGCCTAAGCAAGCACTTAGTCCACTGAGCTATCTCACTGGCCCCTTTAAAACGTGATTCTAATTTCATTTTCCTTAGGATCCAGCCTTCACTTCTTTGTTAACCACCCAGCCCCAAGTGCAAAGTGAGATTGTGAATAAACACAATGAACTAAGGAAATCTGTCTCCCCTCCCGCCAGCAACATGCTTAAAATGGTAAGGGGCAGTAGCTAAGGACCCAGCAGCTGGCGGAGCGCATCTAGAACTCGTCCGCTGAGAAATACAGTGTTCAGCCTGCATTTTCTTGTTATACTTGAAATGTTGCATAGATAAGACTGTATTAATTTTAAAACTGTTAATTTATCAAAGTTCCAAGTGTTTTAGATTTTGAAAGCAATGAAATGTCACTTATCCGCATCTACTTCTAATCTTTTTTGTTTTACTTCTGATCTTAAATCAATTATTTCCTTATCTTCCAAGTCAATGTCATTATTCATGTAAATAAAAGCCCCCTTCCTTGGGACATCGTTTCTGTGTTGGTTTGGTTTGGATTTGAGTTTTCTGTTCCTGGAATTGAACCTAGGGCCTCATGCTTGCCAGGCAGGCACTGTGCCACTGAGCTACATCCCCGGCCCACTGCACACACTCTTAAAAGCCTCGTGTCTCGCACTTAGAGCAGCAGGTTTCAAGGGCCTTGGCAAAAACTCTGGCCAGCATAATGTACTAAGATACAGTGGAGCTCTTGATGTGTTTATGAATATTTAAAGGAATACCTTTCCTGCAAACCCCTGGCGTGCATGCATGAGTGGGTACAGTTACCTTAGCATTTCACCCCTAGAACGCATTATTGCCCCCAGACTTTGCCTTGTGTACAAGCTACCTTTACTTTAATGAAGTTCAACATGCCACCAAAAATGTTTTGGTAACAATATAATTAGAGATACTTGCATGGAAGCTTCAAGCATTTCTAATCAACCCAATTATACACTTTGTGGTGACTGAATCTTTAAATGTGTTTCTTTTTTCTGTGGCGTTTAGGAATGGAGCAGGGAAGCAACAGTAAACGCACAAAAGTGGGCCAACAAGTGTACTTTAGAGCACAGTGAACCAGACGACCGAAAAACCAGTATGTAAATCAACGATTATTTGTTGAACAAAAATGCAGTTATAATAGATCTTTGTAGGACAATGCATTAAGATTTTCTGAATAAATGTTATTCTGCTATCTCTTCAAGTCCAATGTCCTGTACATATAGATAACTATGATAGAAATAATCTGTTTGCATTATGCAAATAACTTATCACATAATCATATATCATCTATTTTTTTCTTTGAGACAAAGTCTATGTAGTTCTTTTTTTTTTTTTTTTTTTTGAATTTAAGACAGGTAAATTTAATGCAGGGTGTATAGGGTCTCACTATACAGATTGGACTCATAGTGATTCTCCTGTTTTCAACCTCCCAAGCACTGGGATTACAGGCACGTGCTACCACACCCAATCTCAACTGCCTTCTCAGCACGTCCTGTGGCTGAGTCTGGCACGGCAGACCCAGGGATCGAATCCCGGGGCCCTGCGTCTGCCTAAGCAGGTGCTTTAGTCTGTTGAGTTATCTGGCCTGCCCTTCTATGTAGTTCAGACTGGCTTTGAACTCACTATGTAGGCCAAGGTAGCCTCCAGCTCATAGCCTCTGCCTCAGCCTCCTTAGAATCTGGATTATAGATGTGTGCTGTCATGCCCAGCTCTATAGCTTATTTTGTAACTTTAAAGATTAAAAAACCTAAATTTGTGAGGGTCGTTACCCAAAACAAATGAACTCATTGAAGAAGTATCCTACTAAGAATGTAACCAGACTTTCTGATTTTTAACACATTGTCTTTTCTGTGTGCGGCACCTGGCATGGCAAAACGAAACTTCAAGAGTTAGATTTTTTACTTTGCAGATGAGTGGCTTCTCCCAACTTCCTCAGGCTTAGACCCCGAACCGCCATCACATCCCCACATCGAGGTGAATCCACAGACTAAGAGGTTGAAGTTCAGGGTCATTTCCACAGGCAGGGGAAAGAGAGGTCAGGTCCGGTCCAGGGGATTGGGAAGGTGAGGCCTCTTCCTCTCCTCAGAGCCAGCTTGAATAGCTCCTTTCTCTTTTTTACCAAAATAAATGGTCTTTTTGCTTTGGTCAGTAACAAGCAGAGAAACCTGAGACAGTAGAACTGGCACTGGTAGCAACGCCTAAGGGACTGGTAACACCAAACAGCTATTGGATGTTGTGAAATCTATTTTTACTCATAAAATATATTAAGCTAGTTGAATTGTTCTTGAGTTTGCATTAAAAATTTTAACCTTTAGATTCATATGAAAGATTATCATATTCAGAATTCCCATAAATTAATATTTTGAATGTTTATATTTAAATTCTTCTGTCCAGCAACCAAGTGTTATATGCAATCAGCTATTATGATATACAGGAGGCTATAATTATCTCAAAAAAACCCACATCATAGATGATAAAAGTGAA